AGTTTTCCAATGATTTTAGAAATGAGATTTTAAAGAGTATCATTTCTTAAAATGAAATATTTTAAGAAATGATATAACGCATGGTGGCCACAAAGATCGGGATGTGGGAATCGCATCCTTGGGGCAGGTCCTGAAACCCATACGGATCCACTTCTTGTTTAGTGGGAATTATGGCTCTGCACTTTTCATAGACAGACATTTTTACCGCTTCTTGTTTAGTGGTATGATGAGCTGCACACTTTCATTATACAGATGTTTTCTACTGTGAGTATTTCCTTTTCTAAAAAGGGATGACCGGTTCCGGTTGTATATCTTCAGACCGTGAGTACCTTTATTTTAAATGCTTTATAAAATTATATCATACTGGGCCTTTCGCTCACCTTTCTTATTTTCAAATGTATTAAACCCCTCTAGGAGACGCGAGGAGTAGTGCGGAGTAGGTAACTACTACCGATGACGTGGACTTAACCTTGGAAAGTGAAGAGTTATCTTTCCTCTTATCTTTTATTTCAAGGCATGTATAAAAGATTGTGGATTGTAAACTTAAATATTACTAGACTGTGGTTGATGTCACATTTACTTTTGTTCATATTCATGAATGCTAAACACCTGTGGGAATTCCTGACTTGATACCAAGGACGTGGTTTTAAACTGGTTTGGTTGGAAATTCTACCACTTTTCTTGAAATTGAATTTCTCCTGAATGCAAGGGGCTCGTTTGGAAATACCTGTATGTTTTGGATTTGAAATAAATTAAAAGTATTTGCTAATCACTCTCTCTCAAACAGGTTTAAGTTTCTAAACGAGCCTCCACGTCACTAACCCTGGTTTGGGGGCGTGACAAGACTTGGTATCAGAGCCCTTGGTTTAGAACCTTAGGGTTTGGAATTATGCATACATGAATGACATCAGGAAACCACTAAAACAGTCTAGCTTTCTTTTTAGATAAAAGAATGATGCCGCGCCGTAGAAACCCTAACCCACCGGCGATGCTGAATGAGTAATTCATGGAAGCCATGTACGCCGCCTTCCAGGGGATGGCTATTAGAGCCCAAAATGAACGTCCTGCGGAGGACAGAAAACAGAACTACTTCTGTGAGTACAAGTGTAGTTCAATTCCTGCATTCACTAGCGCGGGTGGACCCTAGGAAGCCCAGTATTGGTTCGAATCGGTGTCTAAGCATCTAAGTACCATGAGAGTACCGGATGAGTATTGGGTGGAGTTTGCAGCTTTTAAGTTTGAAGGTCCTGCAGGTGCATGGTGGAAGCATATCCGGCGAATGCATGATGTAGAAGAGATGACTTGGGAACAATTCGAAGCGCTCTTTAATGAGCAATTCTTTTCCAAAAGTTATCGAGATGAAAAGGCTATGGAATTCATGGGCCTACAGCAATGGGATATGATAGTGAGGGAATACGAAGTTAGGTTGAATGAACTATCCCGTTTTGCTCCTTCCTTGATTGAATCGGAGCGCATGAAGTGCCTAAAGTTCGAGAAAGGTCTTAAGGGTGTGATCCAGAAATCAGTGGTAGCTTTAAGGCATCGAGTCTATAGTGACTTGGTTGCAGCAGCCATCTCTGTTGAACAAGAGCATATTGCCTTCCTCCAAGATCGAGAAGCTTCAGGAAGAACCTCAGGAGGACCTCAAAGGAATAATAGAAAAAGTCGTGATCAAGGGCAAGGTAGTGGGGGAGTGCCTAGTGGTAGCAGTGGCTCTTCGGGAAGTGGGAAGAGTGGACCCTATAGCTTCAAGTGCCACCATTGTGGGGAGCTAGGGCATACCAAAAGGAACTGTCCTATCAGGGGCCAACAGGTGAACCAACAGACTCAGTAATCACCGTAGAATCAAAGGGGTATTGCTCCTAGTCAAGACAGACTTTCACAGTTCACGCCTTTCTATCAGCCCCAGTTGTCTACCCAGATGCCAATTCCTCTTGCACCGATCTTTCGTCCGCCGAACTACTCTTATTTTCGACCACAGGCTTCCGTATCAGTACAGTCTACCCCTACCGCAGCAACAATATAGGCCTGTAAACCAGAGGCCTAACAACAACAAAAGGGAAAAAGGGAAAGCACCGGGACAGATGCATACCATGGCCGGGGGAAGTTCTGGAGCTCATGTCGGAAACCCAGTCGTCGAGGGTATGATACCTATCTCTCACTCTTTTGCACGAGTTTTGTTCGACACTAGTGCTACGCATTCTTTTGTTTCCACTACTTTTGTGAAAATTTTAGGTTGGAAACCCGATGACTTAGAGACTTCAATGTTTATAAGTTCTCCATTGGGATGTGTGGAGGTGACTAGTATATGTAGGTCGTGTGTGATCATGATTGGAAGTGAGAAATTAAAGGCAGATTTGATAATCCTTCCCATGAATCAGTTTAATGTGGTGCTTGGAATGGATTGGTTGTCGAGATATGGGGCGATTGTTGATTGCCACCATATGAGAGTTACCTTGACTACTGGTTCTAGCACGACAGTAACGTATCAGGGAGGTGTTAACCCAGTTACAGAAGAACGACTACTAAGGCATAGTGTCGGAGGATGACAGAATTTAGCTTGTTTCTCATTCTTTTCGGCATTAGAGGGTGAATCCGGTATCGGCGGGGAGAATGTTAAGGTCCCCGTGGTCGATGAATATACAGATGTATTCCCTGATGAGTTGCATGGTTTACCGCCTGACCGGGAGATCGAGTTTTACATCGACTTACTTCCGGAAACAACTCTGATTTCTATTGCTCCATATCGAATGGCGCCTGCGAAGATGAAAGAGCTAAGGGAACAACTTGGAGAGTTGGCAGAAAAGGGATTCATTAGAAATAACACATCCTAGTGGGGTGCACCTGTCTTGTTTGCGAAAAAGCACGACGGATCCCTTCGGTTGTACATAGACTACCGACAATTGAATAAGGTTACCGTGAAGAACAAGTACCTGTTGCCAAGGATCGATGAGTTGTTCGATCAACTGGGAGGATCACGATACTACTCAAAAATCGATTTAAGATCCGGGTATCATCAGTTGAAGATTAGAGAAGATGATATTTCAAAAATAGCTTTCAGAACTTGCTATGGGCATTATGAGTTCTTAGTAATGCCTTTTGGATTGACGAATGCTCCTACTGCTTTTATGGATTTGATGAATCGAGTCTTCCATCCATATTTAGACCAGTTTGTGATAGTCTTCATTGACGACATCCTGGTTTATTCAAAGACTTGGAAAGAGCATGAGCAACATTTGAGGATCGTTCTCCAGACTCTTCGAGAACACCAGCTTTATGCAAAGAAGGAGAAATGTGATTTCTGGTTGACAGAAGTCAAGTTCCTTGGACATGTTATATCTGGACAAAGAATTTTAGTGGATCCTTCAAAGATTGAAACGGTGCTATAATGGGAACGACCGAAGAACGTAGCCGAAATTCGAAGCTTCCTAGGACTTGCGGGGTATTATCGACGATTTGTAAAGGATTTTTTGAGTATTGCTGCTCCAATGACTCGGTTGACTAAAAAGGAAGTCAGGTTTGAATGGGATGCCGACTGTGAACATGCATTCCAAGAACTGAGGACTAGATTAACCAGTGCACCGATTCTGACGATTCCTAATAGTGATGAGCCGTACGAGGTGTATTCCGATGCATCAAGACGAGGACTTGGGTGTGTTCTGATGCAAAATGGACATGTTGTGGCCTATGCATCTTGTCAACTAAAGCCACATGAACAGAACTACCCCACGCATGATCTAGAGTTAGCAGCAGTGATTTTTGCTCTCAAGATATGGAGATGCTACCTCTATGGAGTAAAATTTCAGATCTTCTCTGATCATAAGAGTTTGAAATATCTGTTCACTCAAAAAGACTTAAATCTGAGACAGAGAAGATGGATGGAATACATGGAGGATTATGACTTCACCTTGCAGTATCATCCTGGAAAAGTCAACGTGGTAGCAGACGCTCTCAACAGAAAGACTCCAGGAATCCTAGCATCTTTGGCATTGGAAGATTGGAAACAGAGTGCAATTGTAGGTGATTATGATCTTCAGTATTATGAGGATTCTAACCAAGCTATGGTGTACAACTTGGCTTCAACGCCAATTCTTATACAGCAAGTCAAGCAGAACCAATGGCAGGATTCGCATCTTCAAGGAATTTGGACCCGAGTTCAGAATGGAGAAAAACTGGATGAATGGAATATTCGGGAAGATGGAACGCTCTACTTCAGGAATCGCCTTGCCATTCCTCAAGTGGATGAGATAAAGAAGACAATCCTTCACGAGGCCTACAAATTGAGGTTCATTATTCACCCTGGGAGTACCAAGATGTATCAAGACCTCAAAAGGCAGTATTGGTGGAGAGGTATGAAGAAGGATGTTCACTAATACGTGTCAGAATGTGCGACTTGTCTTCGAGTCAAGGCTGAACATCAAAAACCTACTGGAGAACTACAGCCTCTTCCTGTTCCTAGATGGAAATGGGAACACATTACAATGGATTTTCTGATGGGATTGCCGAGGATTGAACATCGGCATGATGCCATATGGGTCGTTGTGGATAGGTTAACGAAGTCCGTGCACTTCATTCCCTTTCGTGCGACATATTCCAGGAAAATTCTAGCAGAGTTGTATCTGGAGCACGTTGTCAGACTTCACGGAGTTCCGTTGTCTATCACATCAGATCGTGACACTCATTTCAACGCTAGATATTGGAGAAGTTTCCAATAAGCCATGGGAACCGAACTGAATTTCAGCACTGCAGTTCATCCTCAGACCGGCGGACAATCTGAGAGAGTTATTCAGATTTTAGAGGACATGCTTCGTGCTTGCATTCTAGATTTCGGTGGAAACTAGAAGAAGTATCTTCATTTAGCTGAGTTCGCCTACAACAACAGTTATCAGAGTAGCGTTGGGATGGCCCCATTCGAAGCGTTGTATGGCAGACCTTGTAGATCGCCAGTTTGTTGGCTTGAGTCAGAAGATCGACTGACCCTTGGATCGGATGTTATCCAGGAGAATAATGAAAAGATAGCCGTGGTTCGAGAACGACTGTTAACGGCTCAGAGTCGTCAGAAGAGTTATGCTGACAGGAGGCGTAGACCCTTAGAGTTCTCAGAGGGTGGTTTTGTCTTGTTAAGAGTCTCACCGCGCAAAGGAGTTACTCGTTTTGGTGTGAAGGGAAAACTCGCGCCGAGGTACATCGGGCCATTTTAGATCACCCAACGAGTCGGTGTCATTGCTTACCGCCTCGATCTTCCTCCAGAATTGTCTCACGTGCATAATGTGTTCCATGTTTCTATGCTTCAGAAGTGTCAACCCAATCCAGAAGCCATTGTGCAATGGTATGACGTGCCGATCCAGTATGACACGACTTACAAGGAAACACCCATACAGATTCTTGACCGGAAGATGAAAAGCCTACGTCAATGTGAGATACCGTTAGTGAAGGTGTTGTGGCAACACCATGGCGTTGAGGAAGCAACGTGGGAATTGGAAACGACGATGCAGGAACGATATCCGTATATGTTCATATCATGAGGTAAATTTCAATTTCAGGGACGAAATTTCTTAAGGGGGGTAGAATGTAACGCCCTCTGGAATTAAACTTGTTTAATTATGATAATTGTGGTTTATTAGTGTGCCTAAATTTACTTTCTTAATTAATAATGAGCTTTTAAATTTATTTTAGTATTTGCAATTTCACCCTTATTTATTTTATTTATTCTTCCTTAATATTTTTCCTAATTTTCTTTTCCTTCTATTTCTCCTTTTTTTTTTTTTGCTTATTTCTTTTTCCTTTCCCTTCCTCACGTTACTCTCTCTCTCCCTCTCTTGATCTCCCGAGCTCTCTCTCCCTCACACCACACACACACACACACACACACACACACACACTCTCTCTCTCTCTCCCGTTCATCTCTCCCTCTCTCTCTCAAAGTTTCCTTTCTCAAGGGCCGGATTTAAACCAAAAACGGAGGTTTCCAAGAGGTTTTCAACATCAAAGCTTGGATCGAGGTAAAACTCTTTGAAACGTACTTTAGATTTTTGAATTTAGCTTTGTGGAACTCGTTTTAGTCGAGTTTGGTGATTTTTGGTTTAAATTTTATTTTCAAATGGAATTCGAATGGGATTTGGTGAAACCTTAATGAAAATTGGGGGGTTTTGATTCTTTGGATCCCATTTGTTGTTGATTTGAAACTGGATCTATACATTTCCCTTGAGAATATGTCGAAATCGGACCTAAAATTGCAGGTTTTGGCTTTGTTCCTCGTGAATCGGCCATTGTTCGCCTTGGAATTTTTCCCCACCGGTTGACCGGTCCGGTCGACCGGTCACCCTTCCATAGGTCGACTGATCCGATCGACCGGTCACCTTTCCACCGGCTGACCGGTGGAGTTACACTTCTCTATCACCGGTCGACCGGTTCCCACTGAAACCGACCCTAAACAGCCTAAAAACCTTGTTTTGACCATGAAATTCGATGTGGGATTGACCTAACCTCATTTGAGAACTCAAAATGAGTGGATTAGCCACATGAATTCTTGTTTTTCCATTCGATTCTCTGGAATGAATCTCCATTGTCAAAGAATCATGAAGGATATTCTTGTCTATATCCTTGTTAGCCTCATTTTAAATTATTTTGGCCAATGAAAATGTTTTAGAACAAAACATGTTTAAAGAAAATGATTTTAAAGAAATAGCATGAGAATGCTATTAAGTTTTTCCAATGATTTTGGAAATGAGATTTCAAAGCGTATCATTTCTTAAAATGAAATATCTTAAGGAATGATACAATGCATGGTGGCCTCAGAGATCGGGATGTGGGAATCGCATCCTTGGGGGCAGGTCCCGAAACCCGTACGGATCCACTTCTTGTTTAGTGGAATTATGGCTCTGCACTTTTCATAGACAGACATTTTTACCGCTTCTTGTTTAGTGGTATGATGAGCTGCACACTTTCATTATACAGATGTTTTCTACTGTGAGTATTTCCTTTTCTAAAAAGGGATGACCAGTTCCGGGTGTATATCTTCGGACTGTGAGTACCTTTATTTTAAATGCTTTATAAAATTATATCCTATTAGGCCTTTCGCCCACCTTTCTTGTTTTCAAATGTATTAAACCCCTCCAGGAGTCGCGAGGAGTAGTGCGGAGTAGGTAGCTACTACCGGTGACGTGAACTTGACCTTGGAAAGTGAAGAGTTATCTTTCCTCTTATCTTTTATTTCAAGGCATGTATAAAAGATTGTGGATTGTAAACTTAAATATTACTAGACTGTGGTTGATGTCACCTTTACTTTTGTTCATATTCATGTATGCTAAACACCTGTGGGAATTCCTGACTTGATACCAGGAACGTGGTTTTAAACTGGTTTTGTTGAAAATTTCACCACCTTTCTTGAAATTGAATTTCTCCTGAATGCAAGGAGCTCGTTTGGAAATACCTGGATATTTTAGATTTGAAAGAAATTAAAATTATTTGCTAATCACTCTCTCTCAAACAGGTTTAAGTTTCTAAACGAGCCTCCAAGTTACTAACCTCGGTTTGGGGGCGTGACAACTTTTCATAATCTACTAAATTATTTTTTATTTTTAACTAAAAATAATTAATTGCTACTATCATCAACATCAGAGAAATCTATTAGATTCTTTCATAATCCATAAGACTATTTATTTTTGACTAAAAATTAAACGACGTCTCTCATCTCTGACACATGAAAGGAATCTAGATCATAATCTATCATATTATTTTTTATTTCAACTCAAAGAGGTTATCTTCTCAATCTCTGCTATCCGAGAGAAATCTGATATATTATTTTCATAATTTATCAAATTATTTTTTATTTTCAACTAAAACATGATTGACCATTTCCGATGCCAATTGCCGAAGAGGAATCTGGTAAAGAACATAACATATTAATATCACAATCACAATGCATTCAATTTATGATACTCTAATGCATTTTATTTCCTTTAATATTGTATTAATTAGCATTATACAATACAATACTCTAATTAAACCTACCAAATATGTCCATAACATTGTTAGCGAATATATATATATATATATATATATACACATATATATATGCTCATGACGTAATAGGGGAAAAGGCAACACAAATTTTTTTTAAAAAAAAGAAGAAACAAAAATAATGGGTAAAAATGTAAATAAAGAAGATGAAAAAAAAAAGGAAAAGTGGGAGGGGAGGGGCACATTTGAAAGAAAAAAGGGAAAAATATTTGTAAAAGTGGAAAAATACTTAGCTATATATATAATAAGAAGTAAAAAGATGTTTACAGAGACTTATTTGAAAAAAAAAAAAAGGAAACATATATAAAGTGTCAAAACAATTTATCTAAGCAGGTAAGAGACACAAAATTATTTAGGGTTCAATATAAGAAGTGTAAAGATATTTAAAGGTCAAAATTGAAGGAAAAATATTTTAATGAACGATTTTAACAAATATATTTTGGATTACTGTATGAAAACAAACCAAGAAAAAAAAATTTAAGAAATAGATATCAATATACACAAGATATTTGGAGGGAAAGCAATCCAAAGAACTAGTTCACTGAAAAGAAATAAAAATAAAAGATAGAAATAAAAAAAAAAGATAAGAGGATAACAAAAATGAAAAAAGAAAAGAAAAAGAAGTAAGAAATAAAAATAAAAATTTTGCGAGGAGAAATATAAGAAGCCTGAGATAGTGAAGTAGATATCAATATACATAACATATTTGGAAGGAAGCAATCCAATAGAAAGTAAAATGAGAAGAAATAAAAATAGTAGATATAAAAAAAAAAGGATAACAATGAAAAAGTTTTTTTTTTTTATTTTAAAAAAAGGGAAAATTGTTGGGAGAACGTATGCCCCCTTAAAAACTGATTTTACTTTTATATTATGTAAGAGGATAACAAAGGAAAAGTTATTATTATTATTTTTTTTTAAATTGTAGGGGAGAAACATAAGAAAGTTTTGTACGCCCCTTTTATATTATGTAAGATGTAAGGTAAGATGTAAGAGAATAAAAGATATTATGTAAGAGATAAAAGATTAAGAGATGTATTAAAAAGGATGTAAAGGATTCTCAAGAACATAGGGGTTAGGGTAACTTATCTAATTTTAAGAAAATGAGATAAATATTCTTTTTAGAATATATGAGTTTAGATTTTAACCTCTTATTTTTAATTAATATTCTTTTTAGTCAAATACTATAATAGTTAAAGAGGTATTAATTAAAAATAAGGAGATAAAATCTAGATTTATGTATTCTATAGATAAGTTGAGCAATTTTCTTCTTTTTTTTTTTTTTTTTTTTTTTTTTTTTTTTAAAAAATTTGGGAATTTTTTTTTTTTTTTTTTTTTTTTTTTTTTTTTTTTGTAAAGTAAAGTAATGGGCCTTGGGCCTTAGAATAAGATTTAAAGAACATAATTCTCGAACAAAATAGATGAGATGCGCAGGGTGAAAAAGAAAAAGAGCAACAACAACACCGTAGCTCTGGAAAAATGGTAAACTCTCATTGATGAGCATACCATGTAATAATACTATTAGAGTTTACAATATTTATTTCTTGTATGATATATAATGTCTCATACTTCGGACATTCCTTATTTAAAAATTATACTTATCTATGAGTTGAAATGGTGATTACTGCTAACATATTTAAGTTAGCTAACTATTGTCATCCAGGCATCCTTTTCTCCCATCTTATTTGTGAGTATTTCACGTTCACTGCAACATAAATAAATAAAAAAAGTTCCAAGAGAATAACATTATTATTAGGTATGATAGGATTTATCATATATATATATATATAAGCCTTTAATTAGTTTTCTTTGTTTGTTTTAATTTACCCCTCAATATTAGAAACTCGAAAGGTACATTTTAAATTTGAAAATTATGTTTTAATTTTATTTTTTTCCACATTTTTTCAAGAAAAGAAAAGAAGGTGAAATTAAAAAAAAATACATATATTCCTAAATAACTTCTAAAAGAACATTTTACGAAAATTTTTATGTTTTCCTTAAAAAAAAAAAAAAAAAAACATTATAGGTAGTGCAGATCTATACTTTCCTCAAATACATATAAGTTTTTTTTTTGGATGTTTTAATGTTTTGATGTTTTAAAATGTTTAAAATATTTTTTAAACATTTACTTATCAATTTATTTATGTTTTCTATGACAAGTACATTTACTTATCGATTTACTATCAATAATATGTTAATTTCTTTGATGTCTCTTGAGAACTTTGTGCTCACCTTAGAAGGAAAAAGGAACTGGAATTCAGAAGACGACATGATTGATGGGTCGAGCATGAACTGCTGAGGAACTTGTTGAATCATTGAAATCATGTCCTAAAGTTTCACAAGAATATTAAATATGCACATTCATTTTAATATATCAAGTATAGGAAAGACTTTTTAAAAAAAATTTAATGAAAGGGTTAATTATATTGTCCTTGGACTACTCACATCGCTCAAATTATTCATCATGGGAAGATTCAGTGCTTCAGCAGTAGAAGTATTTTCACCCCCTTCAGGAGTTTTTCCTCCAGATTCATCTTCCTGAAAATATTTATGGATTATTGAATATCTTTCACTAAATTTAGACAAGATCCTACTTGTAATGCTTAATTGATTTGTCCCATTTCATCAATTATACTCATTTAAAAATAAGAATTCGTGTCATGATTCGAATTATAGTTCGTGGCTCGTTACAGTGTTTTCTCTAAAAAAAACACACATAAACCGAGAATAATTCTGAATCATAATTTTGAATTCATGAACCAAACGTCCACTATATTAATGACTAAAAAGATCCTAAAAGTACCTTCTGGCAATCATGACTCAAGGGAACAACTTCCTGCAAAAAATCAAGGAGTTCATCGTTCCGAATCGCCCGGGCAATGTCGCAGCGCTGCAGAGTCCGCCTCTTGCATTCTTCAGTTTGCATCCATGAGCGGAGTGTGAGCTCCATTATGAAGAGCTCACAGGCCTTTGAGAACAGGATTGGAGTATCTGCGCTGATCATCTTATTATGCAAAAAATATACTTCAAACAATTAGCATCTTATTAATAAGCCTCCATTAATCAATCAATAGGCGCCACATGATATAATATTATGGCTCTCACCTATGAAATAATCAATAGTAAAAATGGGAATCATCAAGTTATTATATAATAAACTGAAATCATCAATTAAGGCAAGCCAAATATATAATTAAATATATAAAATCAATAAGTTAATGTGCAAATTAACCTTCACATCTCCTTCAGATTTCATAATCCTCTTGACCCTCGCAAGAGGCAGTTGATGCTGGCTCTTCCCAACTGTGTAGCACACATGTGACAAATTAGTATACTTGATCAACATGCGATTATCCTTAAGGGGCCAAATTTAATACTATCATTTTCCAATTTCCACTTGCAATTCATAGTTTCGGTTGACTATGACTCTTTATTATTTTGATAAATTAGTGTATCAAAATGTCAATCTGAAATCTTATTTCGATACGTCCATCTATCTTTGGTTTTCATCTCAGTAGGTATATTATTCTACATTTTTTAAAAGAACATTCATTCATTTTTTTCATCTATCTTTGGTTTTCATCTCGGTAGGTATATTATTCTACATTTTTTTAAAAGAATATTCATTCATTTCTTTCTTCCCCGTCGACCAGTACCATCCCATACTACACACAAAAAAAACAAAAAAAAATTTACACATGTGTGCGTGTGTGAGAAAATGTCATCGTGCTTCTAGTTAGCGGCGGAGGGAGGTTCATCTCAGTGAAATCAATGCCCCTATTGAGATTTTGAATTTTTTTTTTTTTGCCCATATTTAATCAATAAGAAAGTTATAATTGTTCCTAAAAAAAAATGAAAAATTACAATTGCGCCTCCACATAATAGTGAAGATAAAATTCTACCTATGTCTCTATTTATCTCTTTTTTATTTTATATATTGTGCCCCCACTAAAACTTTTTCTCCTCTTCTATTATACTATAGCACATATATAGAGGAATACAAAGAAATTACATATCACAACATAATTGTAGCTAGGAAAAAGTATATTTACCTGTTGTGTTTTGCATCTCGAGCAATTGCTGACTCCAGAACAGCTCTAAATTTTGCTTCTGAAGTTGATTGAGATGGGACCGCCTAATTTCTTCAGCGATCTATGAAAGAAATTGTGGCCAAAAAGAGAAAAAAATTAAACAAATTACTTGTGAGTAGCATATATATAGGAATTTAATATGAAGGAAAATATATATTTGGAGATATGAGAAAAATAAATAAAATAAATTAAAACCGATGAGGGTAAATTAAGAAGCTTGACCTGTTTGGTACTCATGTTTTGCTGGTAATTATTGTAATCAGGCAACATGAAAGAACTCCTTGGCATCATAAAGTTAGGGACTTGTGGGTTGGAGTTAGAGTTGGGAGAAGATATGAAATTCATTGATTGATTCATATCCATGGCTAGCAACTTTTTTTTTTTTTTTTCCTTATCTATACTACTAAGTTTTAGTGAGGGAGAGACTGAATTTCGTGTCCTTAAATAGGGAGATCATTTATGAAGAGAGGCAAAAGTAGTACTTTTAGTAGCAGGAAAAAAAAAAAAAAAAAAAAAAAAAAAGTTCCTTTTTTTTTTTTTTTTTTTTTTTTTTTTTTTTGCATGCCTTTTGCCATATGGAAAAACGTTAGAGATTAGATTTACAAAAGAATCAAAGGGCTCTAAGTTCGAGGAGAGGAGCATTTTTAGTTGGATGTAATTTGGGTTTTATCATAGTATGCAAAAATTGCAAATTCAAGAAATCACAATTAGATGTTGTGAAGACTAGTCTACAATAATTAAGATGAAGTTCCACCATTTTTGTATAGTCACACTCGCCAATATTCGTTTGAAGGCTCTTTATGAAGATGGTAAATTTCAATTTTTGGGGTAAAATTCAAAATAAATCACGCATACGCGCTCGTCAAAGTTACAAAGTTTGTCTTCCAAAACCAAGGTTTTTTTTTTTTTTTAAATAAATGACTTGGATTCTGCAGGCAAAAAATTGACTTGGCCATTAATGGCTAAATATTTAATGCCATTAATTGCCAGAAGAATCTCATTCTAATATTTGAGAACAAAATTAAAGGGAATATGGCTCGACCTGAGGAAATCAGAAATATAGACCCAGCATATATATATATATATATAAATATAAACGGATATATATTTAAAAAAAAACTAAATATTGTTTCTTACCAATAAACAACATGTATAAACCATAAACATATAGTAATGAAAGTACGATGGAGACAAGGACCAAAATATTCATAAATTTGAATTATCATTCAATATTGCAGCTCGTGTAAATATCAGCAAAACCTTGTTAAATAATTTGATTAACCAATTAAGAGTCTATTACCCCTTAAACATTGATGAACACCTTATTCTATGATTATCAACGTTAAGTGTTAATTTATTATAATCTTTATTCCCAAGACAATGACAATGACAGCAGTAAATAGTTTATTATTTTGGCCTATTTGATACTTATTTCTTCGTAGTAGAAAGAAAGTATAAAAAAATTTATATGAATTTTTATGAGAAAAAACATTGTAAAACAAAAAATTGAGCTATGAACAAGGCCACTCTGTTGTCACATTTCAATAAAGAGAAAAAAGAACACAAAACCAAAACAATCTCTATCTCTTTACTTTCTAAAGGCCGGAACTTTAATTGGTACCTTTCATTTATTAAAAAGAGGTTGAAACAGATTTCGTCAACTTTTGCTATAAATATCATAAGGTGGACATGATTTTGTAATTAATGACTTGCCATATATGAATTTAGGTATAGCGAGACACGTTGTTCTCTAAACATGCAGCACGCATGTGAATATTTGGATTTCTTTTCTATTACTTGTTGAACGCCATTAATTTGCAAATAGAAAAGAAAACATGAATTTAAATTCTTTAGTCAAATGAAAAAAAAAAGAAAGAAAAGATTAATCCTTCGTCATCAATTAAGAAAAAATTAACCCTTCATCATCAATTCATTACTCGCCTTTCTGCATGTCTTTTCATATATAGTTTCTATTTTAACAACGCTTTTTTTTTTTTTTGTCTTTTCTGATCTATTATTTATTTTATTTTTTATTAATATTACTGATGATTTGATTCCTTAAGTTTTGATTGCTGAGCATGCAAACTTAAGTTGCTCAATTCTAGATAACTAACTAATAATTGAAGAATTTGATATATAGAAAAGAAGTCATGTTTTTTATCGTATTGAAGCTACCAATTCATAGCTAGTTATTTCCTGTTCATAAAATTTCTTCTGAATGAAGGAGCACTATAGGCCAGTTTAGTTCATTGATTCAAGTTTTTAATTCGAGTTGATATGTGATTTTATGTGAGAGTTTTTTACTATAGTAAAAAAGTTAAATGTGACTATTTCTAAGAGTTTTTTACTGTAACAAAACTCGAATCGGTGAAATGAACAAGGTCTATATGTGTTCATAGAAAAGATAGAAAAAACATGGTTAAAAACAAGGTACCAATATTGTATGGAGTTTTTAATTGATCTATTGTATATGAATTCACTTCATTTTGAGAGAAAAACATAATTTAAGTAGCTCCAGCCAAACTATATGAAAGTTCCAAATATAAGAGCCCAGGGGAAAAGGAATCCAAATATGTACATGAAGAGAGAAAATTTAATAAATGGAAATTCAAATAACTAATGTCCATCATATTATGATCAATCATTTAAGATTGTTTGCCAAAAAAGCATAGTAGAAGTAATATCACAAAGAAGGTCTTACTTCTTTTCAATTCTAAACTAACACTATCTAAAATTCCTTTACAAAATGCTTTCCTCGGTGAAAAAATAAATAAATAAATAACCCTTATATGAAATGCTAACAGATGGAGAAGAAAGAAAATAGACTTTTCAACAACTAAAACTTATATATTATTTTGAATTCAAACTTTTTATTCAACCATTTTTAACAAATTCAATATACGCCAATGATTCCAAATACAAAAGTAATTAATTTACTACAAAATGAACGTGATAATTTTACCTCTAGATCTTTTCCTGCCTCTCTCTTCATCATTCTAACAAATTCTGTAAATTCAGCTGCCTCAACCTTCATTATAAATTCTGTAAATTCTGCCAATCTAGGTTACATATAAATCATTCTTATCTCATACCTCTAATAAACTATTAATTAATCCAGTGTTAATAAACTATAAATGCTTTATAGTTTTAATTTGGGAGAAAGAGAGAAATAGGCCAAGACTTGAGATGAATTAAAATTAATAGACTAATAGTTTACATAAGTTAATAAATAGGCTAAATTACTGTTTTCGTTCATAACTTGTCTGGTTATGAACCATAACTTGACAAGTTATTGTCCATAATTCACGGTTTTTGTCAATACCTTGTATGGCTATGAACCATAACTTGACAAGTTTGTCCATAACTTATCTGGTTATGAACCATAACTTGACAAGTTATAGCCTATTAATTTCTATAACTAAAAGTTGGCCTATATACTTTCTTAAGCTTTTTATACTGGCCTATTTCCTACTATTTCCGTTTTAATTTTTGTTTGAGGCCTAATAGCTTTGATAGATCTAATTAATATCCATGACATCCATGACACTTGTTTTCTTTGTGATCTGCGAATACGGCACTTGGTTTGTATAAAGATAATTGATCATATCGACTTCTAGAAAAAGGAAATTAAATCGATAGTAGGGAGATTCAAACTTAGAACATTAATGTTTGTAGTGAGTATGAAATTATCATAGGGCCAAGTCTCTTAGCACAAGTGACATGGATTCTTTTAAAGAAACTTTTGTAATTTTTTGGTACCTCCATTGATGAAGCATGGTCATTATACGAACATATTTCAATGGTAAAACACAAATAAATAAACTCATGTAGCATACTCATAGAAACGTAGCAAAACAATGGACATTTAATTAGGATATGCATATGTACTTATTTAGATGCTGATTAGAATAATATCATCGTAAATAATTCTCTCAAATTGTTGGTATATATAATAGTCAAATTTGTCAAGTGGGATAAAATAAGTGCGACAACATAATTTATCTTTCAAGTCCTATGAAACATGACTAAAATTTACAAATATGAAATTGCTTGCTTCTTGACTTGGAGAGTTATTCATTTTAACTTAATAAAAGGCCTGCTAGTATTGGAACTAATCGTGAATGATCGTAAATAGTCTATTTATGATCTCATCTTAAATGTCACCTTTTTTGTGGCCAAGTTTTGTTTCATTTTTTACCTCATATTTCTATTTTGACAAATCCGAAATTTGCTTCTTCTTAGTACATGGACTAAAGGAGTGTACTAAATGATTCGTTTGCAATTGACTGACATAAATATTGATCTCATACTTCTTCTTTTCCATTTTGAATTACACATTTCTTGTGACGAAATGTTTAACGTAAAAGGTTCAAAACATTGTGAATGGTATGGATATAATAAGTGATGACATTTTGATAAGCACCTCATCAAAGGAGTTTGTCTCATCCACGGAATTTGTCCAAAGAGATACAGAATAGGCATTTTAAGAAACTGGTTTAAAAAACATATATGTGTGTGTGTATCAAATTGTGTAATTAATTCATTGTTTTCAACGACCATATATGATATCGTACGTGACCCATTTAAATGGGTATCACTCTTGAGTTGGTATCGCCACAGGGACAATAACGTAACGTTCCAATCCCGAGCTTTGTCTTTCTTTGACACACATATATGTGCTTAGTGGGGACAAATCATCAAAATTCTGTTAGACTCCAAATCAATTGTTTCTTACGCTCTTGCAATGTTTAGGAAAGTTGAAAATAAGCATCATGTTCTTTTTTTTTTTTCGTAGCTATAATCTTCATGAATAATGACTTGTATATCCTTACGTTTATAGGGTTAGTTGAAGTGTATTTATTTGACATTTTTTCCCGACATTATATATGCGTGCGAAATGTGATACAAGATGAGTAAATAAACCAATTGTTGTTACACACGGAAACAAAAATGATTTAAGGAAAAAAAAAAAAACAACTTCCAGAACAGTAACATGTGTATCTAAATTGTTTGGATGCAATTTCACCAAATCCATTAGGGAGCGAATTAGCCGCCCACCAAAATTTTCATTTACCTTAGATTAAAATTAATACTCGTCTATATATATATATATATAAACGATATATAGAACTGCATGCAATGAAACGATCAAAATGGCCTCAATTCGAATGTGAAATACATCAATATTGATCAATAGTTGTCTAGGAACAAATTGTACATATAATAGCATATATTCTCCAAATCAAAGAAAAAAAAAAACGGATTACATTTTCTGATTTCCATCTTTCCTAAACACCTTGGAATTTTCCTTGGTTTTCACTCCTAAGCTAAAGTAGCCCCACAAAGATGATCATCAAACATACGATTCCCTCGTCAATTTATTGCTACATTATCCATGGGTTTCAATTGTAATTACTGTACTTGCATCTAAACACAGCGAACAGATTTCTATATACATATTATCATTCAACACAAAATCATTCAATTCAATCCAATTATATGGCCAGTTTTCTGCAGATATCAATATATCATGTCTTTGCCTAATCGAATTTGATCAATATCCATAATTCATCAATCAATCAACGTGGAAGCAACAACCTCTCCTGCTCAGTAAGCGAGTGGCGGAAGTGGCACCTGTGGCCGTAGGGGCACCGTTCTCCAGAGAGGACCATCCTGCAAATCTCCGTCTTGTAGCGCGGGTGCCTGATCACCGGCCGGAGCTCCGTTATGCCGTGAGCGAACTGGCAATGCTCTCCGTAGGGACACGCCCCGGTCTGCTGCCATTTGTTGCACAGCTCCGTCTTGAACATCCCTTGGTTGTAAACATCCAACTCCAAACCACCAGATTCTTCCTCTTTCTCGCCTACACCAGGCACATACACTCTTTGCTGCGACCATGTAGCACATTGTCAAATCCATAATCCAATAATAATCAATAAAATATTAAAAAAAAAGAAATGAGAAAAGATATAGAGCAATGTTCACGTGTGAAGATAGAGTCAGAGAGCGACTCACCGTTTCAGTTCGGGAGGCGATTGGATTTGGTACAGATCTTGGACGGTTGGATGACCGACCCGGACCTTCTCGGCTCGAATTACCAGGCGAATGGCTGATAGCTTTCTGATAACCAGTGGATCGAACGGAGATGCTCTTAGGGAGTGAGACTCTCTCCGCGCTCGGCCGCTCGATTCGGTTTGTCTCCATCACGCTCGTCGGACTGATATCGGAGACGTCTTCGACACCATGTCCGTGATCGGGAGCAAGAACACCTCCGATATCGAGGCGGCGGAAGGAGTCGAGAAGCGACTGGTTTGGATAAGCACCGGAAGAGAGGAGGAAGCCTTGGAAGGCGGCCGGAGAGGAGAGGATCTTGAGGAGCTCTGTGTTGACAGATCGGAGCTCGGCGTTCTCACGGCGGAGGAAGTCGATCTCCTTGTTGAGGTTGCGGAGGTGCGTTTGGAAGAGATCGTATTGGTCGTTTAGCTGCTGATGCTCAAGAATCAGGCGCGCCTGGATGAGGCGGTGCTCGGTGGTGCTCTCGTCTTCATAGCACCCGCCGCCACCGCCGGCAGACGAGGAACGCGTCGACGGCGTGAGCGAGAGCGAGCTCGGGAGAGGCGACGACTTCGCGGGGAAAATGGATCGGTACATTGAGAAGAACTCGGCGCCGAAGTCTCTGGCTTCCGGCGAGTTCTCAGAGAAGTTCTGGCGAGTGCCTTGCGCCATGGCCAGAGGCGGTGGCGAGCTCGGAGAGGCAGTTTTGATCTCCGATGGAGGGGAAAACGCATTTTTCTCCATTTTTGATCAAATTCTTGACTGAAATCAGACAAAATCAAGATATTCAACAATCAAAAGCAAGACCGAATTTCAAAAAAAAAAAAAAGAAAAACAAGAAGAAGCAAGATCGATCGATCAAGAAACTTCCGAGAGAAAATTCATGAGATGAAAAGAGTTCGAAGCATTAAACAACGAAAATGGAGATTGATTTAGCAGAGCTTGAAGGAGAAGAAACTCTCACCGAGTACTGGCGCTTTGAACCTGAATATGCTCTGCAAAAAATCTCAGAAAGCGAGCGAAAGTGAAGAGACGAAGCTATACGGACAGCAAATTTGTTACAAATTGGGCGCGGTTGGGTAATATTCAAGTGCTGCGTACAATAGGGAAGTTTCAATGATCCTTTAATGAAAGCCTCATCGCGTACTGAGACGTTGACGTGGAAGATTCGTATTCGCTAGACTCAACCGTATCTAGTTTAATCGTTAGCACCTGATTATTCTCCAAGGAAAAAATTCGGTTTTCCTCCCAAGTGGACCATGGGAAATAGAACCCATACAGTTATAGGGCCTAACAGAACGCGTGTATCCACGCGCCTCACATTCACAGTTCGCAGCTTCAAGAGGGAAGGGCATGTGAAGTGAGGCAGAGCAGTGAGAATGAAGAGGGGTATATATGTAATTTTATATGAGTAGTTAGAGTAAAAGAGGTTGGTAGTGTTCGCTAAGGGAATGTTTGGCGTGGTATGGAAGTATGTATGTGTTGCCAATCTGGTTCTTCTTTCATTTGAAGGTTTCGGTTTTCTTTTTCATTTGTTATGTATATACATAGTTACAAATATATATATATATATACACGCACTATATGAGGTGCTTTAATTAAATGGCATTCTTTTTCATGTGTTCTAACTCCTATTATGATGTATAATCTATATTTTAAGTAAGGTTCATAATAATTATCGTTTATTCCTCTATATAGTTTGCTTCTTTATCACAACTTTAACTAACTCTATGGCCCCATCTTATTTTTGGTACCACCTCAATAGCTTTAAAGAAGGGGAATAAAAAAAAAAGGAAAATAATGATATTATAAATATGAAAATAGAAAAGTAGTGAAATCCCCGTTTGTATGAGATGTCCATAGCTTGCGGTGTAACCATGCAACAACCACTTTGACGAGAAGAGAAACAAAATTGATTCCACTGTTTAACAATATTGTTGTTAGTTGTTGATGTTGAAATCAAGTGGAATTATTATTGTAATATTGGTATTTGGGTTAATAATTTTGATGGATGAGCCAATTGTTGGATCCATATCATTCGAACTCAACAAATGCCTGGCTGGTTGCCAACGTTACAACCTTTTGTCATGAGCATAGTAAAATTTTAATGCTTGAAAAGAAAATTTGAATGGTATTATATATATATATATATATATAAGTAACATTGCAATTATCGTTTCATTAGGCTTGTTAAAATTTGGAAAAGAGAAAAAGGGCATAGAGAGCTAGTTTTCCATCCATTACGAGCTCACAAAATTCAGTAGTTTATTAGGTGTATTGGAGAGAAAAGGGCACGTATTTCCGACTATGGATAGATGTTTTTTATTTTATTTTATTTTATTTTATTTTTATTATTATTTTTTTTTTGTCTTGTGATGCTCAAACTTCAAAATAAGACAACAAAGAATATTTGGACAAGTTTTCTTGCATAAGCTGCGAGAAGGGTAATTGGGCTTTAAATGTCAAAGTGGCTAGTTTTAGTTCAAGCACGTGGGCCGGAGTTTTGAATGATGTCGTTGTACTTTCGGCTGCAAGTTTTGTTTTTTTGCTTACAAGTCTAGCACCCAAAATAATAATAATAATAATAATAATAATAATAATAATAATAATAATAATAATAATAATAATAATAATAATTTGGCTGTGAAATTATTATGTGAATGCCAATAGCGAATTGTCAGTGGGAGCACGGTGTTTCAAGAGAAATTTAATGAATTAAAAATAACTCATACATTCATTAAACACCACACCGCTATTTCAAGAACAAATATAGTTCCATAATAGCGGTGGAGCTAGGAAAAATTTATGAATTTCCCCTTATTTGTCACGCGGAAATTTTTTAATTACAACATCCACATGGCATTTTTAAAATCATTTCAATCATACACTAAGTTATGATTGTTTTTAAGTACTCTTATTTTAAATTTAAAATCTGTAATAAATCAAGTATCAACTATATTGCTATATAAATTCCCAAATTTTGAACTCTAAACCTCAAAAATCAATGTTAAACTCTATTACAAGTTTAGTTCATTTAAAAAAAAAAGGATTTTTTGAAGGCAAAAAAATAAAGATCTATGTAGATAAATGAAGTTAAAAGACTATTATGTTGAAGTTTAATTCAAATTTTTTATTTAATTTATATCTCCTGAAAAAATGGCTGTGCTACTGAATCTATAATATATTAAAGTATCTCGGGCAAAAGATACTCAATTTTTTTTCGATGAATAATTCTTAAATTGAAAAAGTCTCTCATGAATGAACTTTCTATTAAATTTTAAATGAAAACTGTTAAATTATACACATAAATGGCCCCATGAATTTTTTCACTATCTAGAAATAATCATTGTGCGGAAAATTGAACCGTATTTAGTCCCTAAATTGAAAAATTATGTAATTTAGAAGGATAAAACGGAATTTAGTTATCCCTTAGTCTGTTTAGTATCTAAGTAGGGAAGAAAAAGACAGATTTATACAAACAAAATGTCACAATTATTATTTGGTTTGAAGTTTTTCACAATACACAAAAAATGCTGTCAAAAAAAAAAAAAAAAAAAAGAATGGTGTGTTTTCTACATCAGAATCGCCGCCACCACACATTGTCGTCTTACTATCCACCGTGTGGTTATACTTTTCCATCTTTATATTGTTTCTCCTTAATTCATTCTTCTCTCTAAATTTTCTCTCTATTCTACATTCTATCTCGGTTCTACAACACAGTGTCAAATTTTAATATTTAAATAAGAAAATTACTCTCTAATATAGTGTTATTTTTTTTTATTGAATTTAACAATTAGCATGTATTGTACTTGGCACTAAATTTAACACAAAATATAGCATATGTCAAATTTTAGCATTTAATTACCCATATTTATGCATTCACTTTTAATCATCGTAATATGATCAATTTTAAATTTATTTAAAAAATAAATTTTTAATTTTAACAATTACGTACATACAAGATATTTTAATTTTAAATATATAATGAAGTACAAAATAGAATAGGATATCAAATGATAAATATATTATTGTTACATTCTTTAACATCTCAAATCTAGTATTTGTTGTCGTTTGTATTGGAGATAGATTTATAATGTATTCTGATGCCAAGCCTTACTTTATAGTTTATCCCTTCAAGGGATCTGTGGGAAATCAAAGCCAACAATTTTTCATCGTAGACAAAAAAAAAAAAAAAAAAAAATTAAAAATGGGAAATAATCAATCCTTTACCCCTTTTTCGCGGAAACATCCTTTACCGTTTTCGTTTATGTTAAACTTTTGACGAATTATTTTACATAAACATGGCTACTTTAAAAATACTGCAAAATCAAGTCAAGATATGGCAGCGGAAAATGGAGATATATAAGGACAAGGTAACAAATAAACGCAACTAAAAACATAAAACAATAAAATCATTTTCATACTATTCCAATCTTTTCCGATGGGATCTTTATCTTTTCATACACTATATCCCAATCTTTTTCCGATGGGTTTCAGAACTAGATACACTATTCAAAAAAACAAAAAAGTAAAAATAAAAAACAAATGAAAAGAAAAGAAAAGAAATTAGAAGAACGGGCTGTATACAAATTAATTAAACATATATATATATGATCAATAATATTTTCTTCTCTAAACGGCTTTTACTTCATTAATATGATGAGCAGGAACCATTTGCAGGGCCTTATATATCTCAAAAATCAACTTCTCCTCGATTTCACTGCCGGAATAAACAACCGGGATTTGCCGAGATTTCGGAATTCTTTTGCCTCCGAAAACGTTGTTGGTATTCAATTCTCCCACGTTACCAGCCAAGTTGAGCATCATGTTAATATAAGCATTCTTCACCTTAGTCCAAAGCTTCACCGGCGATTGCGAAAGACTCAGTCCGATTATCCGAAGCCGCCGGGTAGCTCGGATCCTCCACTTCCGAGAAGGCGGTGTGGCTCCGTGGAATCTCGTCACCTGAATCTTCTTCCGGCCATTTACAACTCCGTCGAGCCGCTGGTATCGTCTCCGGCGCCAGTATCGGTTTAGATTGCGGTACAAGGGTTTGGGGATCACCTCCATTGGAGAGGAATTTCTAGGGTTTGACCTTTTTGTGGTGTGAGATAGAGATTAGTATGTTTATATAGAGGAGAGAGAGAGAGAAGGAGGCGACGAAATTGTAAAATGTCTAAAAATCAGCATATGCATCATGTTTGAACGTATTAATGAGCCTTCTCCTTAATTATACATATAGTCATGAGTTAGTCATATGTCAATAAAGGCGGTGATGACTAATTTAATCAATCTCCTTTTAGATGAGACAATCAGAATGATTATACATTAATTAATATTTGGTTAATTACGTGCGCGCGTTTTTTTGTGCAGTTGAAATAGTAAGATTTGGTCAACTTTTCTTTATACTTCAATTGGGGAGAATCTTATCTCTATCTCTCTTCTTAAAATAAAAATTAGTAGGCATCGGATGGATAAACCTTTCAAACTTAGTATTTGATGGAAAATACGGATATACTGTGGCATATGAACTTCCCCTCAATTTAGGACCCAGATATGTAAATTTCATTTTCTCTGATTCCGTGAATAATTACAAGCAAAGGAGAAAGCACATGCTTAATTTTTTATTTTATTTTGTTTTCCAATTAAATGTTTGAATTTGAAAAACAACATAAGCAAAGGGAGTCCATGTGCGAATTGTTGAATCCTATGTGCATTCCGTAAATAATTATAAGCGACATTAGAGTTGTAAGTTTGGGTCAAACTAAATGAGCCAGTCTGAGATCCATCACTGTTGGCTCGAACTCGGCCCTAACCTCCAGGATGGATTGAGATTGCAAACCCGAAAGTTTATTTGGGTCGGCCCATCTCAGCTTAAACACCCTCATTTTGAAATTGTTTTTTTAAAAAAGAAATACCCTATAAAATTTTGGGTGAAGCCAACGGGCTGACCCTCTCCCATTCAAGCCGGTTGGGTCGGTTTGACCTAAAATTTTCATTTAGGCCGTCGAGCCCTGGTTAGGCGGCTCAAACTTTCACCTCTAGCTTACATTTAGAACCTTTGAAGGAATTAAGGTAGGGTCCAGTACTATATGTTTATTTATTTTTTGTGAAAAATAGAGTATTCAATAGGATAGTTCTATTCACACACCCCTCTTTACTCTGCACGCCTCCCTTTTTAATTGTAATTTCTTATTAGGAAAGACTCTCATGTAAAATGACGTAAAAAAATTATTATAATAGACTTAATTACATAATGAAATTTTATTATAAAAATAATAATATTTTATTTTCTTCCCTTCACACACCCAACTTGTCATATTATTAAATTAAAAATTATTATTATTTTTAAATCTATGATAAAACTTTAATTTTTTTCCATTCAATAGCTATTCCAAAAAATTACATATAGGTATGTTAACTTTTCTTTGTTATTTGTTCAATAGTGATTATTTTTTTTCCTTTTTTTTTCCTTCGTTTTGTGTTAATTTTTTTTTTTTCAAATTATTTCATTTTTGAAAGGGCAAATCATTTTGTTTTATTTTCTTTTTCGTTTCTTATAAAGTAGAATTGATTTTTTTCCATTATTGATTTTTTTTCCATTTTGTTCTTTTTTATGCTTATTGTGCTCGTTTAATTGTTTTTCATTTTGTACTTTTAATCATACCTCAATAATATGATAACTTTGTTAGCGGATTTATTTTTTATTTCTTTAATTATATTACTTTCTACTTTATATTTTTGAGTGTCTTTTATGTTTTCTGAAAAGATATTTTAATAGATTTTCTTCTTGTACAAAAAAAACGTCATGCCTAAAACTTCAACTAAAAAAATAGAAAATATGGAAATAATAATATTAAAATTAAAAATTAAAATAAAATAGTGGGTGTAAAAAGAAAAGTGATCAAGAATTAATAATCCTATAAAAATAGTTTAGGATAATTTTAAAATAATAAAAGTGTGTAGAAAGTAAACTCAACCATATATTTTAAATCCAAGTTCCGGATTACTCATGATCTGTCTATCAATCCAGGTTTTATTATTAATTTTTATTTATTGTTTTTGAACACTTGTTTAGTAATTATGGTGTAAGAGTCATTTAATAAGAAAATGCATATCATATCTGTCACACGCCTTACAGGCTGACTTTTGCTAAAAAATTGATATTCGTAGTATTCTATAATTATCTATAATATAATGCTTTGGTGAGATAAGATATTTTAATCGGTTTTTTTATTATTATTAATTTTTAAATCGTGATTTCATACACAACAAGAATACTACTTTTTACAACAAAAGTAATTATACCGACTAAGTGATCTATTTTCTGACGAATTTATCGGGTTGGTATAAATTTGCAGTTATTGCATCTCAATCTTTTCTCAGCCAACAAGTCTTGCCAATGGCACCCATTTGATTTTGTATCGTGCAAACCTTTCCTGAAGAAATTTTGAAATTTTATTATTTGTCCTCCAGAAATTATAAAATTCTATGTTTAACACACATTATTTGTCCTCCAGAAATTATAAAATTCTATGTAGGGTAAACATAAAATTTTATAATAGTTAACTTATTTTTTCTGATAATTTTAGTATATAACCTTACCTCCCTTGATTTATTTATTTATTTTTTTATTCTGCCCTTGGCAAGGAAATTAAAGTGCAATGACGACAGTGGTTGCTCTTCTCAGGACCTAGAATGGGCAAGCCACGGATGTAAATAATGGCGATAGTAGTTTTAAACTTCCGGTCAAAATTTGGGTTATTGGAAGGTACTGAAATATATTTTAATTTTAAAATACTTTCCATAAAATTTCAAAAAAAAAAAAAGAGGTAAATGTTCATAAACATTGGTTGCATTATCGGTTCCAATAAGTCTGTCGCGTAATTAATTTGTATAAAATTCCAGAAAATATTGTTGAAATTTCTAAAAAATGTCACTACCTATCCAAAACTAAGGACATGTTTGGAAGGAACATTTTATTATAATTTTTAATTTTGATGTTTGAATTTTTTTTTTATTTTTTTAAAGAAAACACCGTAACAGAATCAATGATTTGAGTTTAAATATATATAAAACAAACTAGCCGTAAAAGTTTTGGCAATTCAAACACAATTCGCTTTACTATATATACTTGTGTCGTATGTATAATTTTTTCATACACCATCTCATTCTTTTCATATACACCAGCCCAATCTTTTCCGATGGGATTCAGAACAAGATACACTTCATTCAAAAAATAAAATAATAATAATAATAATAAGAAAAGAAAAGAAATTAGAAGAACGGGGGCTGTATACAAATTAATTAAACATACATATATGATCAATAATATTTCATTCTCTAAACGGCTTTTACTTCATTAATATGATGAGCAGGAACCATTTGCAGGGCCTTATAAATCTCAAAAATCAACTTCTCCTCGATTTCACTGCCGGAATAAACAACCGGGATTTGCCGAGATTTCGGAATTCGTTTGCCTCCGAAAACGTTGTTGGTATTCAAGTCTCCCACGTTACCAGCCAAGCTGAGCATCATGTTAATATAAGCATGCTTCACCTTAGTCCAAAGCTTCACCGGCGATTGCGAAAGACTCAGTCCGATTATCCGGAGCCGCCGGGTTGCTCGGAGCCTCTTCGGAGAAGGCGGTGGGGCTCCATGGAACCTCGTCACCTGAATCTTCTTCCGGCCATTTCGAGCCCCGTCGATCCGTTCGTATCGTCTCCGCCGCCAGTATCGGTTTAGATTGCGGCTAAAGGGTTTTGGAATAAGCTCCATATTGGAGAGATATTCTTAGGGCTTGGTCTTTTGTGCTGTGAGAGAGAGATTAGTTTGTTTATATCATGTTTGAATGTAGAAACTGTATATATAGTCGTCATAAGTTGGTCATGCGTCCATAAAGTCGGTAATGACTAATAAATAATTGCCGTCAGAATGAGAATGGTTCTACATTATAATATTTGGTTGACGTTCCCGCGTTTTTTACTTTCTAATTAAATTTGTAGCATTTGGTCAAATTTTCTTTATAATACTTGATCAATTTTGGATAATCTTATCTCTTGATCTTTTAAACTAAAAATAATACAGGTTTACTGTGATAAAAAGAAGTATTATAGATCCCCTTTAATTAAGAGAATCCATGTGTAATTAAACTTGTTTTTTCTGAATAAATAGAAAAAAATAGATTAAAACCCATGCTCAAATTTATTTATTTTTTTTCAGTAAAGGATTCAATTTGAAAACAAACAGAAGTAGTAGGGGAGGATTCCGTTAATAATTATAATTAGCAAGGCATCTAGAAGTTTTAAAGGAAAGGATGAGGTCAAAATTATAATGTTGGATATTATTATTGAAGGATGGGATATATTTAAGTTTTTCTCGTGATAATTTGTGTTTTTCTTTTCTTTTTTGTTTTTTTTCCCGGAAAATGAACTATTCCATTAAAGAGGATCCACACGTGCTTGCCAGGAAAAAGTCTACACCTCTTGGCACTTCTAATCAGGCTGCAATAAAACAATGATAATCATTAGATCAATCATTTTTAATTATTATTATTGCTCAATTACGACCTAATTGATTGGAATATAGTCTAATTGATAACGAAGAGCCAATTAACGTTCTACCGGTCGTATCTGGTGCACGATACAGAAATTGAAAATTGACATTCTTAATATTCGACTCTATAATCTTGCTACTAATAAGTCTATTGCTTTGGTAAGAATAAAATGTGTGAGTGGAGTTCTTTTTTTTTTTTTTTTTTTGAAAAAAGAAATGCGATTCCATGAATCTATACACAACAGAAAACTATTTTTGACATTAAAGTCATCAAAATATATCTTTTAGTGATGAAAATTTTAAAAGTTTTTTGTCTCTACCGATCAGCAAAACAAAATTTTTTTTTTTTCCTGCCGATATTACGTTCACATCGATCAATATTTTTAGCTAGGAAGTTCCCGACAAACTTCCGATGAGTATTTTTCATAGGGATGCACTTTTCTTCACGAAATCACAATTTTACCGAAAAAAAATATTCATAAGTAATTCAACCCCTGGATTATGTGAGAGCGACGTGAACGTCTAGTATGATGAAAAGTTATATTTTTTTTCTCTGTTTTTGGAATTTTTTTCAAGCAGAAATATATATAAGCAACGACGATGACCACTTTTCTTTGTAAGCCGTTGGGGTATTATGAATTGTCTGCCATGCACATTATGCTGATTTTTGTACTTTAGCTTTGCCCAAAAAAAATTTATGAATTGTGAGTTTTTTTTTTTTTTTTTTTTTTCATTCATTTTTAATATTTTTTTTTATATCTCACTCCCATTTATTTAGGAAAAAGATAAACTACCTTGCTTAATATTTTTTTTCCCAGAACAAAAGATTGAGACTTATTTAAAATTAGCCGCCTCATCTAACTATTTAGAGTAATATAAAAATTGCCAATTTGTTGGTAGATGGGATCCAATCGGAGAAAATGGAGTTTCACATTAAGGCTTGTTCTTTTGGAGTAAAAGTTAAAAAAAAAAAAAAAAAATTTGAACTCAAGTTATAACTTATTTAAATTCTTGTTCATTTATAAAATTTGAGTTTGAACTTGAGTTTTAACTCGAGTTTTAACTTGAGTTTAGGGTTAAAATCTGAGTTCAAGTTTTTCTTTCAACTCAAGTTCTTAAACTCAAACTCAAATTAATGAACAGTATTTTTTCTATTCTTAAAAACGTCATAAATTTTTCGTTTTATTTAAATTCATGTTCGTTTGTAAAATTTGAGTTTGAACTTGGGTTTGGGGTTAAAATCTGAGTTTAAGTTTTCCCTTCAACTCAAGTTCTTAAACTCAAACTCAAATTAACTAATATTATTTTTTTTATTCTTAAAAACGTCATAATTTTTTCGTTTTAATTCCGATTGAGATAATTTCTTTTTCTATGCGTTCACAACGAAGAGATGAATAAAACTCCACTCATATACCCTATTAAAATTTTTCATCACCATTAAGTTTTTATTAAAAACTATCTAAATACAAATTCAAGTTTTGACCCACTCAAACACAAACTCAAATAGATTCTCAATTCAAATTATAACTCAAATGTGCACATCTAAACATAAACTCAAGTTACAACTTCAACTCAAATTATAACTCAAATTCAACTCAAAATCTACACTCAAGTCACTTATAACTCAAAAATACAACCGAACAAGCCCTAAATAGTTAGATATGTATAAAATTGAATCCATACACCACCAACTTTTAACCATTTGCAAGTTGAATTTCAGATTTTAAATTTTGTATTTAGGACTTTACGTTGACAAATTTTAACAATCATATGGAGTTCTATTTATGGACGACAATTAGGGGTTGTTCGTTTACATTTTTTAGTTAGGGTGACTTGAGTGTAGATCTTGAATTGAGTTTGACTTATAATTTGAGTTGAAGTTGTAACTTGAGTTTGTGTTTGGTTGTGTACATTTGAGTTATGGTTTGAGATGAGAATCTATTTGAGTTTGTGTTTGTTTCTAATAAGACTTGAATTGTGAACAGTGGAGAGCATTTTTTTTCTTTTTTGAATTTATTCAATTTTTTCTGATTGAATAAGAATAATTGGAATTATTTGTAAATAATTCTAAAAAATGAGTAATCGGGTAATTTAAAAAAAAAAATACATAAATAAAAGTCGTAGAAGCTATAAGTAGGACATATGTTTATGTAAAATAAAGTACGAATTTTTCTTCATTAAAAAAAATAAAACATAATGGCAGGAATCTTCCAGTGAGCTTTACACTGCACGCGAGAATAGCTATAGCTATTAATTCGAATTTCACTCTAATTGAAGGGGGAGGATGAACTTGAGTCTGGGTTGGTGACTCGAATTAATTTTTGAGTTACCAGTTACCACACGGTCGAACTACAACTTGGGCTTAAAGCCTTACTCGAGTGAGCCTTACTCGAGTTTTTCATGTGAAACAAACAACTCCTTAGTGTCCCAATAGAAAGTTGTAGGTCTACTTTTCCAATGAACAAAAAATTTTGGGGTAAATTTGTACAAAAATCTTGAGTCATGACTGTCCATGTAAATTTGTGCAATCTTTTAACTGTTGAACCATAACGGCAGCCAATTTTTTATTTTTTATTTTTTCAAGTTTTCATTTGTTATAATTGAAAGATCTTCAAGTTTTTAAGGACTATAAAATTTAAGAATGTACCAATACAATTAACCGAAAAAGAAATGCAATTAAAAAATCGTTTACTTTGTTCTGTCATACAATTTTTTAAAAAATCATTTCAAAATAAATTTACTACACGTCAGCCTGCCAAATATTAAAATAAATTTACTTCAAAACGGAGATGATTTCACCTCTAGACCTTTTGCTGCGTTTCTTCATCATTCTAACGCATTCTGTAAATAGTTGCTTCAAGCCTTCATTGCATCTTTAGAAATTTGTCAATTGCGGTGGCTAATTGAAGTCCATTTCTTAGCCATCTATCTACATCGAAAAGAAACCGATAGTGATCCAATGGATAACGAAGAGTCAATTAATGTTTTACCGGTCGTATCTGGTGTCTAGTGATCTGGTTCTGGAATGATCCGTCTACCCCAAGTTGTAACTTGATTTTTTCTCCTCTTTTTCTTTTTTTTTTCGTTTTTTTTTTTTTTTTTTTTTATGGGAAGACTAGTTCTATATCTATGAGAGTTATGAAAGCAAAAAAAAAAGGTAAATTGATATTATACAGAAATTGAAAATTCGACTCTATAGTCTTGCTACTAATAAGTCTACTGCTTTGGTAAGAATAAAATATGTGAATGGAGTTTTTTTTTTTTTTTTTAAAAATGCGATTCCATGAATCTATACGCAACAGAAAACTATTTTTGACATTAAAGTCATCAAAATATATATTTTAGTGATGAAAATTTGAAAACTTTTTTGTCGCAACCGATCAGCAAAACAATTTTTTTTTTCTTTTTTTTCCTGCCGATATTGCGTTTTCATCGATCAATATTTTTAGCTAGGAAGTTCCCGACAAATTTCCTATGAGTATTTTTCATAGGGATGCACTTTTTTTCACGAAATCACAATTTTACCGAAAGAAATATTCATCAGTAATGATTTGTTTTTAAATAGTAAAATTGGCTGGTGTAAACCTGGACTGATGGTAATTCAACCCCTGGATTATGTGAGAGCGACGTGAACGTCTAGTATGATGAAAAGTTATATATTTTTTTCTCTGTTTTTGGAAATTTTTTCAAGCAGAAATATATCTAAGCAACGACGATGACCACTTTTCTTTGTAAGCTGTTGGGGTATTATGAATTGTTTGCCGTGCACATTATGCTAATTTTTATACTTTAGCTTTGCCCAAAAAAAGAAAAAAAAAGTTACGAATTAAGTGTTTTTTTTCCCTTCATTTTTAATATTTTTTTATTTCTCACTCCCATTTATTTGGGAAAACGATAAACTACCTTGCTTCGTTTTTTTTTTTTTTTTTTTTTTTTTTTTTTTTTTTTTATTAAAAAAACTTCCCTTTTTTTTTTTTTTTTTTTTTTTTTTTTTTTTTTTTTTTTCAGAACAAAAGATTGGGACTTATTTAACATTAGCCGCCTCATCTAACTATTTAGAGTAACATAAAAATTGCCAATTTGGTGGTAGATGGGATCCACTTCTAATTTCTTAGGCTGAAGAATAAATTGGAGAAAATGGAGCTTCACATTAGATATTTAGATATGTATAAAATTGAATCCATACACCACCAACTTTTAACCATTTGCAAGTTGAATTTCAGATTTTAAATTTTGTATTTAGGACTTTAAGTTGACAAAT